GAATAGGGTTTTGGGGGTTGCTATAGCATAAATTTAAAGGGAGCATAAGGGAGTACGAATCGAAATTCTTCCGACCCCTACGTTACTCCGGAGAGGCCACCTGCGGCGGTGGTCCGCGCCGATCTTGAGCATGTTCATGGTGAAGCCTCCTTTGGAGATCCTGCGGCATACGATTTAGGGTTTAGGGTTTAGGGTTTAGGGTTTAGGGTTTAGGGTTTAGGATTCCCTAAGCCCTAAACCCTAAACCCGAAACCCTAAACCCAGCTTCTAGACCCGGGAGTAACCCAGGAATAAAACGGGCACCCATTTTGGGTTTAAGGGGATTATAAGGGAACCCCAACCCGAAAAAAAGCAAAAAGGGCCTACTGCCGGTCCTAGGTGATTGAGACTCTTCAAGGAAATAGGGCGTTGGTGCTGTCAGGACTTCAGTTCATCAGGACTTGTAAACTTCGAAGAGGCTGTGAATTTCAGCCGACCCCAATCCAACCCTAAACCCTAAACCCTACAAGTAACTTCCCTTAGATGCAGGCTGCGGGTCATGTTGAGGAGAGCAAAGCCCACGGCGTTGCTCTTCGCGTCTCCGAGGAGACCGAGGCCTTCGGCCGAGACAAGCCACCAGGCCGGAAATGCCGGCCACGTGAACCTGGGAGCCAAGTCAAGAGGTTTAGGGTTTACCCTAAGGCTCCAATGTACGTAGTTCCTTTCTGGGTTAGTTATAGGGAATTCTAGTATGCTACCCCGAAAAGGTACTACATAGGAGCCCTAGGGTAGGGGTTAAGGGTTTAGGGGTAAGGGCTATGAGCTGGTTTTACCTGAGTCCTCCCAGACCATCCCAAATGCTGCGGCACGTGTGCCAGATCGGCAACTTGCCCCTGAACCCCAAACCTTCAACCCCTGCCAGGAAATCCGAATCTTTGAGTGAAAGGAGTCTGTACGAGGAGGCTGGGTACTCGCTTGGGGGCTCAGAGACTCGTGGCCGCAATGCAAGGCATCAGCTCTGGGGCACTAGGCTGCCCAGTAACCAAGGCTGAAAAAGGGTCAGGCTGCCTGGTGCAATGGTTGGATGAGTACAAGTTTGCCATTGGGATGTTCCCCCTGATACTAATCGTCCTGAATAGGGATGATAGTACCCCCTACTATAATCCCTATTAGGGACTCTTACTATAAGAGGGAACATCCCAAGTTTGCCACACAATGTCGTTTGACAACTCGGGTGGCACAGTAAGCTGGGAAGCCCGGATGTTCGGCGAGCCCTGACTCACAGACAAGCATACACCGGGTCTCTCCCTCTCTCCTTTCTCTGCCTCTTGCTCTTCGTCTTCTTCATTTTTTGCTCTACGCCCCGAACCCTAAACCCTAGGGTTTACCTTTACATATATACATATATATATATACACATAGAAATACATATATATATATACATACATATATATATATGTGTGTTTTTATATCCCCAAAAAAGTTGCGAAGCACCTTTCAGCGAAGGTTGAGTCAATTTCTCAGCTACAAGTACTTCTGTTTCCTGTTTGGCTTGTCTTTTTGACTCCTGTGAAATCTTTGAAGGCGGAGGGCCACCGACGATCTGGTACTCCGAAAGATTCTCCTTCCACGTACGACATTAGTACTAAAAGGAGCCATTTCCGGGTCGCCCGGATCAAAACGTGTTCAGAACGCCGGCTTGGGCATCGCGACCCGACGGAAACAAGATCTCCATCGCGCATCGGAACGTCCCTAAACCCTACGTGGAGTGCGTGCGCCCGCACGCAAAGGCCAAGTGAACGCTAACATCGTGAGACACAACACTTTCTACAACACAAACCGTGAATCACGCGCGAAGCCATCAGCGCACAGCATGCTGCAACCAGCCTGCCCGATGGTCAGTTAAAATTTGTCTATCTCTGTCTCGCTGCCTCTGCGTCTGTTTCTGCCTGCACGGGCATCAGGTGTCCAACGACTATGCTTTCATACGTTTGGCCAGGTGGCCACACAGCGCACATCAGGCGCATGTAGTAGTAGGGGAGGTCGCGATGGGCCCGGCACCCTCCTTCGCAGAAGTGTGAGAGAGCGAGAGAGAGAGAGAGAGAGAGAGAGAGCGAGAGAGCGAGAGAGAGCGAGAGCGAGCGAGAGACCGGCAAACTCATCTAACACCCGGGAAACCTGAAAAGGTACCCTGAGACCATGAACCTAAGCTCTGATCCCTGCCCGACGCACCTCGCAGCGTAAACATCCAGAACCCCGCTGGGGCAGAATGCGCGCAAACACACACACACACAGAGACACACAGACACACAGACACAGACACACACACACACACACACAAGCCCTGGACCTTCTAAAGCGACATTCACAGCCCTTACTTGGAGGTGCATGGATACTCATAAGGGTTATAAGTAGGGCTAATTCGAACTACCCATGAACCTCCAACTAGCCCCTGAAACTCCCCGAAGGCGCCACGCCTGCCCAGAAGTAGCACAAGCAAAGGAAGGGCATCTGCACCTGGTTCATGGTTGGGAGAATATCAAAAATATACATTTATATACCTTATTGGGTTTAAGTACCCTGAAAAATGTAAAATGGTACTCAACTATGACACAGAAGCTGAACCAATCCTAAACCCTAAACCCTAAACCCTAAACCCTAAACCCTAAACCCTAAACCCTAAACCCTAAACCTATGACAAAGGCACGAGGCAGAGGAAGGCAAGGCATGCTGTGGTGATTCCGATGGCAATGCCCTTGTTCGTGATCACCAGGACCGAGACCTCCGGGGTTTAGGGTTTAGGGTTTAGGGTTTAGGGTTTAGGGTTTTGGGGCTTCAGTCCATTAAGGGCTTATGGTTTGTTGGGAGAAAGCCCTGCATAGGGACGAGTGGCAGCTCGCTCCAAGCTCAGGTCAACTCACTCTCCGCATTCCTGCGGAAGCGCCACCTCGGTACCCTTGCTGTGGCCATAGGTCTCGACATAGACTGACAGCCCGCCCCAACCCTGAAACCCCTAACAAAAACCACAGCTTGACTTGAACTTTACACCATCCCGCGAGGTTCTGCGTACCAGAGTGTCGCGCCCCAGGTCTTGCGAGTTCTACACCCTGGAACCCAACCTTCATACCTTGAAGTTCCTTGAAGCTTCCATTTTGTTGGTTCGATAAATGCCCCCAAATCTTGGTCGGCCTCCCAGTTCGATTTGAAGAGCTCCCACGAGGCATCCTCAAATAGGAAGCCTGCGAGCTTGCAGGATTTGCCGCTTCGAGTTTGACAACATACTTGGAGGTACATGGGTAGTTAGAAGTAGAGTTAGTATGTACCCTACGTACGGTTATAAGTATAGATGTCCTACTGAGAACCCTACTTATAGCTACCCATGAACCTCCAAGTAAGGTTAATGATCTCTGCAGGTTCAGTCCCCTAAAAGTGATTGCAGTTGAGAAGCCGTCGTGCAAGGAGCCGATCCAGCCGCAGATAAGAAAGGCATGGGTGAAGAGGACCTGAACAATTCAAGATTGATGTCCGTGTCTGAGTTGCGGGGATTCAGATCTTTGGGTTCAACTATGAAAGCCACTTGCGGTGACACGTGTCTCCCTCACGGTGGAAGGCAAGGCCGGAACAGCCGAGCGGCCACGGAGACAACGTTGAACTTGTAACAAGGAACATAGGGAGCGATGAGAACCACGAGCTCCGCCTGCATCAATGAGCAGGTGAAGGCGTAGCCCAAGTACCGGAGACCATTAACATTGTCGATGTGCAGCCAGCGGAACACGGAGAAGAAGGCCGCAAGCGCCTGCGCAAGGCACATGGCAATGTTGAGGTTCCGGCAGTAGGTGATTCTGTCCGCACACGGCTTGTTCGGCATGTCCGGCCAGGTCTTCATCAAAGTCCACCATTCATCCACGACCGGGGAGATGTAGTCCCGAAACATGCGCCACGAAGCGTTGATCGGCTTCTTGACATCGGTCCTCACGACGATGCGGAGGGCGAGGTAGGTGAAGAAGAAGCCAAGAATGATGCTGGTAAGGCTCTCGATGGCGAACGCGGGGTAGAGCGGACCGCAGGCCCGAAAGAGCTGATAGTTGTTGAGTGCTTCAACAGATGCCATCGCTCGATGAGGCACCACAATCGGGCCTGCAAGTACCGCAATCTGGGCTGCACGTGCTTGAAACGAGCCAGAAAAGAACGGATAAGGACAAAACAGCGCCCGACACACAAAAATGCTTGTACCGGGCATTCGTGATTCGGCATGTTCCAAGCACACAAAGATGAACCTACAACCCCGAACCCGTATGTACGATTACTGTCCCAAGGAGTTTTTTCTGGCATTTTCGGGCTTTGAGGGTCCAGGGCTGTCGCGTTCAAGCTCAAGCATTGTCTTTGTTGTAATTGGTACCAATATTGATATTCATCATTCTTGCTACTGCCATTAGTTTTAAGCTAGTCTTACCTTTGTTCTTGCCTAATATATGAATACTACGATTAATATCATCGGCCATACATACTTGTCGTTCTGTTTCGCGCGGGATTCGCAAGAGTGACTTCGATGGTATGAGGTTGAGAAAGCTCCCGGTCCTTCGGAACGAAAGCAAAACTTAAAATGCATTTCCTGAGGAAATGTCCGAAATGTCCTGCAATCTCATCATGATGCCGGAAAATTCAGATGGCTTGTGGGGATCATGGAGGATTATGTTTGCAAGTAGAGGCGTCCCGCGGCAAGCTTCCTCCCGCCCCTTGCAATGCCTTGTAACAGAACATGCTGGCTTCAAAGGGCCGCGCGAAAACTGTGTCTGTAAGTTCTAAACCCTAAACCTAAACCCTAAACCCTAAACCCTAAACCCTAAACCCCAGAGGGGGGACGGGTGCTCTCTTACTTACCCAAACTACCCTCTGCTTGCCAAGGCGGACGGCCAACTCCAACTGCGGATTCTAGGCCTCGCGCCAAAACTTTCAAACACTCATTCCGCTCAAGTGTCCGCAAGGAACTAGGGCATGCGCAAACGTGGCGGAGCGAGGGTTTAGGGTTTAGGGTTTAGGGTTTAGGGTTTAGGGTTTAGGGTTTAGGGTCTAGGGTCTAGGGTCTAGGGTCTAGGGTTTAGTTTAGGGTTTAGGGTTTAGGGCGCAAGAAGCTACAGCCCGAAACATGGCAGTTCTTGAAGCTGTGATGTCCAACAACATGTTTTTCGCCCACAGCCCTGCTTAAACCTAAGCCCTGCCCCCTAAACCCTGAACCCTAAACCCTAAGCCCGAAACCCTAAGCCCGAAGCCCCTGAACTCTGAAGATATTCTTGGGAGCGAAGAAAACATCCGCTTTGAGCCTGGGCCTTGATCAGCCCTAAACCCTAAACCCTAAACCCTACACCCTACACCCTAAAGCCTAAAGCCTAAAGCCTAAACGCACCCCACCCCCCCCCCCAAAAAAAATGTACATATAATAAAATTAAAATAAAAATAATAAAAATAAAATAAGATAATAATGAAACGGATCACATGTCTTGTTTCTTTAGGAAACTCATGTGGCGAAACCAGCAATTAGAATGATGTGAAACAGGGTTAAGGCTTCAGGGTTTAGGGTTTACAGGGACGTCACATGACTTGCCTTCTGTGAGGATCCGCATATGTTGTGTGGGAGTTTGCTTCGGATCTGAGTATCCTTCGTGCCTCGAAATAAATCAACCCTGTTTTGTCCGAACCTTCGCCTACAAGATATGTTCAGTATCTTTTTTTAGAATATGTACGTTTGTCATGTTCTTTTTATGAACTAAGTTTGAGTTCACTTGCACTTTAGATGCCGAATCCCGCGAGCTTCACTTACAGGGTGCCATTCCTTTCCTTTCTCGCTCCAACCGCCGTTCGCCGCCCAGACTTCAGAAAGAAAAATATATATATAATAAAGAAAAAAACATTCTTGAGGACGAGGCTTGGCTCGAGAAGTCGTCGCTCTTGGATAAGGTGCGACTCTGACATCCCGCGGGAACTGCCTAAGCCGCAAAGTTTGCTCAGCATGCCAAATGTGTGCCAGCGCGCTTCAGACCCACAGCGTCTCGGCCTTGCGCGTCTTCGGCGCTGACGGGATTTTAGTTCAGGTCTCGGGGTTCAGGTGCGACACAAGCTGCAGGAACTTCGGGGGCGACGTAGAAATCCTTCCAGCTCCGGCCCAAGTGGTGCGACGTAGAAGCTTGGGGTTTCAGTTTTTGCACGTGACGAAGCAACCGTCACTCAAGCCCCGACAGCCGAAGCACCCGGGGCCCCTACCGCCTTATATTACACAACCCCCTTATAGTGATGTAATAGTATATGGGGGGCATTTAATATTCGGGGGTAGGGGGGTTTGATATTAGGGGTAGGGGATTAGGCAATTGCATCTCACTCTCGAGTGAAGAGGACACCGCACGTACGCATATAGTTACATGGTCCCTTCGTATGGGCCCTTGCAATTTACCCCATGTATACCCCTAATATACACCGTATACTAAACTAAGGGCCCATCCCTTAGAACCATTTAAAGGAGGTTAGGGATCCAGAAGCCCTAAACCCTAAACCCTAAACCCTCAGATTTTAGGGGCTTCTGGGTCCCTGAGCAAAGCACATGGAGGCCTTCTCCTCGAGTTCCTGCTCTGGCTTCTCCGGCTGCTGTATGTCCCCGGTATCTGCTTCGCTCGCCTCTACAGGCCCTATATAGGCAACAAGCAGGAAAGTCTTGCGGGGCTATTGCATCATCCGGGCGGGTGGAAACCTGCTGAGGCAACAGGAGTAAGCTTCTCCGGAAAAAGGCTGTTGAATACCTTTCGGACGCAGTTCGCCCTGTCGTACCATCTGCGAAGAAGGAACAAGATGGAACAAGACTCAATCTTCTCCTGACATTCCTCAAAAGCTTTTGGCCACAAATCGGGTTCAGGGTGCATCTGGAATTCCGGGCCCTGCCGCCTGTGGCGTCAGCGTGCTGACCTGCGACCTGCAAGCAAACACGCTCCGCAAGCTATGCTGGCGAGAAGCAGGATTGGGGGCTGGCGGTGAAAATAAGGAGGCTGTGAGGGTTTCGGCAGGGTTCAGAAGTTTAAAGGGCATTGGGCTGTGGCTGGTCAGGTTTGAGTATGCACCGCTGGCTCTGCCTGAGCAAACAAGCCTAGAATCTGCCACTCACGATCGACACATTGCACTCCCGCCGTCCCCACATCCCTGCCACGTCATACGGTGGCTGTTTTTCGGGGGTAGCATGCATATCTATATATTACACACATACGTTTATATTGGGATTCCTATGCATTTACGTACTTGGATATTGTCGAAGGCCAGGGCTTTGGGTTTTGGGTCTAGGGGTATTCGGAAACCCCAGACCCTGAGCTCTTACCTGTGCACCCGTCCGGGTGCCCAGACCCCTGGGAGGATCCAAACAGTAGAAGCCCCACATAGTACCCTATACTGCTGTAGGGTCATTCCTGAACCCTAAACCCTAAACCCTAAACCCTAAACCCTAAACCCTAACCCTAAACCCTAAAGCCTCAACCCTAAACCCTAAACCCTAAACCCCAAACTCTAAACCCTAAACCCTAAACCCTTCAGGGGATTACTTTTTTGGGTCCTCCCAGGGGGTTCTGGGTGGCTGTCCAGGATCCCGGCTTCAGCTCGGCATTCTCAGCCTGCAGGCGCTGGATCATCTGAGCCTCCTGGCAGGCACGAGAAGCCTTGCACCCCTCAGTTTAGGGTTTAGGGTTTAGGGTTCAGTGTTTAGGATTTAGGGGTTTAGGGTTTAGGGTTTAGGGGTTTAGGGTTTAGGGCTCTTGGGGTTCCAGTAGCTTTGACCCTGTACACTTGGGATGTTCCCCATCAAAGCCGCCCCCCCACCCCCCCTCGAGTGGGGTGCCCCGAAGCTTCTGCCCTGGAGCAACACAAATTGAAATTCAGTTGCTCGAGGGTTTAGGGTTTAGGGTTTGGGTTTAGGGTTAACATGAAACCGTTAAGAAGCACTTCAGAGTCACTCAGGACACTTTAACATGAGGTCGTTCAGAAACACTTTGCAATTGCGAAAAGTCCAAAACACGTTAACACAGAATGGTTCAACAACGCTTGAAATCGAATCGCTCCAAGACAACTAGACAGTTGAGTGCAAAGTGAATTTGCCCGAAAACTTGCATTGAACCACCCTAACCAGTTTCAGATCAATACGGACGAAAACCCATTCAAATGAACATCGCCAGTTCTTGACATGATGGTCACCCAAACACTTTGAGTTTTTCAAAGAACTTCATGTGAAGTTGAGCGTCGCTGAAATAACCCTGAGACCTTGCCGCAAAGCACTCGCAGACTTGAGTCGCTCAAACCAAGCTACCAGAAAAGTTTCGAATTGGATCGCCCATCGCGCTTTCAAATTGATTTGCTCAGATAAATCTAAGCACTTCGAAATGTGGCGTCGTCCAAAACAGTTTGCGTCGAGTCTCTTCGAAGTAAGCCGTCAACATCACATTCAGAACGAAGTGCGCACAAACACTTTTAAGCTGCGCCAAAGAACAAGCTCACATGCTTGAAATTTGGGCGGCCGTCTAAAAGGTTACCATTGCGCAAAGCAAGCCCAAACCCTAAACCCTAAACCCTAAACCCTGAACCCTAAACCCTTAACCCTAAACCCTAAACCCTAAACCCTAAACCCTAAACGCTCATGCTCGGCCAGTTGCCTGAAGACGTTGAGATCTTGCCGCTGCAGACACTTTCACTCGGGTCAAGGCTTTGAAGCCGGGGTCATGTCACTTTCTCAAGCTAAACCCCGAAACCCCGAAACCCGAAACCCCTAAATTAGGTTAGGTTTTTTTTGGATTTAGGGCTTATAGGGTTAAGGGGTTGTAGGGTTTAGGTTTATAGGGTTTAGGGTTAAAGGGTCTAGGGTTTAGGGCTTAGGCCCTTTCACCTGAACAAGCCTTGCGGGCCTAGTGTATCTGAAACAAGAATTCACGTCCGACACTTGTGAAACTTACATCTACGCTTACTTGACGTCCACCCTTGGATATAAGTTACATGTCTACTTTTGTAACGTTTCTAACACACCAACTCTCGCAGATCCTCCATTCACTTTGTAAACACCACGCCCTCTCAATCACTTCCAAAACTCCGCAT